TAGTTTGTCTTGTGTTTTCTTTTGCTTCATGCTGTTTAAGAGCAATTTCTGTGAATTTTTAAAATTATATTATAGTTTTGCATTGCTAATGAGAAGGAAAAATATTTTACAAGTGATACCCATGTAATTCATTTTTGAAAGCTTTCTTGAATATCTAAGATTTCCTACCACTTTGACATTCTCCATATTTAGGAAAATGTATTACTTGAAAATAAGACATAGAATATTGAGTTAGCAATGTACATGTTCCACATGATATGTAAGAGAACAACACAGTGTGGCTAATTCTATGCTAGATTGATTCTGTTAATCTGTATAACAGTTGTTCCTTTTGCTATAACAGTATATATTGAGGGAATCATCTTAATGTGTCAAAGCCAAGGTTTGTAATTTGCTATGGGAATAGAACATATATTGAATTTGTAAGAAGAACTATTTGTTTACATTACATAGCTGGGATATTTTGCCACTTTTAAAGTGATTTCAGAAAAGGTCCTAGGAAACATATCAGTGATATGTGTGGGTTTATTTGTAGAAACTTGAGGTATATTTTCATAGTATGAGAATATTAGTAAAAGGCACAATGGCTACTACAGGATTAAAGATCAAACAAATGCCAATCCCAATTTAACTATGTTTCTTCATTTGAGGAGTGTATGTAGCACTTTTCCTGTATATTTTTACAAAATGAAAACTGGGCTAGGTGTAACTATGTTGTGGGAAAGGAGAAATAATTTATGTCTGTCTTTGTTTCTTATTATCCTACAAAGTTGATGTGTAAGCATCAAGTTGATATCATTGGTGCATGAGGAAAAGTGGAAGTGATCAGTAAGGAAATTGAGTCCCACGTAAAGACGTTTAAAAAGACATTGAATATTGAATGCCATTTTAAATGTCTTTACATGGGATTCCATACTGTAGTCCCATGGGGCAAATGTGTAGATATTTTTAAACATTTTGCTGTAATTGCACATTTTTTTGCATTTTTACCTGATGTCATTGTTTCTTGTTAAAAAAAAAAAAACCTTTTCATATTGGAAAATTTTATATTAAAAAGAAAAACAGAAACTAATGCTCAGACAGGCCCACTGCATTGTTGAAAGTCACACAGTGAGTGAGTGGTACTTTAAATTCAAGTCTGGTTCTAAGCTTAGATTCTTCTGCTGAATAACATCCTACTTCTCTAATATACACCAGCACTGACATATTCAAATACCCTTAGATTGGGGTGCACTGGAGACTTCCACAGTACTGCCTAGCCTTATCCCCAGGACAGAGGGAAGATGCTAGGGATGGAGGGGGCCTTGAGATCTGTCCTAGCAATGGGATAACACAAAACAGGTTGCCCAGCCAAAACATGCCCATTGGTGGCATCTCCTTCTAATATGTAAATCCCAGAGTAAATTATGCAAATCTGGTCTTAACATAACCACTCCACTCTAAGGGATAGAGGAAGCTCCTCTTGTGGGACTCATTGCTCTTCAGGCTCTGTCAGCTGGCTAAGCCACAGTGAAGCAATCCTCAGCCCAGCTGTGCAATCATTCAACACCATCTTGTTCTTGTAAGAGCTCAACAACCTTGGCAAATGTTAGCAGCCAAACTGTGGACCAAATTGACATGGCTTCCTCTTTTCAAAGAAAAAAAAATAAATGGGTGATAGGGATTTGATGAGACAAATGAGAAAATGGCACCAGTTGTAAGGCTGGGCATGGAACCTATACTCGAAGATTTTGATGCTAGGTGATACAAAAAAGGGCCTCAAGACTTATTCAGACAAAACCACACAGGACCAATCTGAACTTGAAAGCATCATTTGAGAAGGTAGGCATAGCCATATCTCTTGGGGTTGGTGACTCATGTTTGCATCCCTGTGGGTAATATATGATCCTTAGAATAAGTTTGGCCAAATCTGCTCCCCTGACAAAATGACCAATCCTGGACTCTCAGAGTTGGAGTCCGAGGCCCCAAGGCAGGATCAGCACATGCTGCCTGATATGAAACTAAGGCTAATTGTCAGGTATTTTTCTTCCTTGGTCTTCTGTGAATTGTAGCAGCCTTATACTGGCCAATTAGAACATTTCCTCATCTGAAGAGAAGAAGCATCCAGCTCCAGGTTTTCTTCTTGGGAGAGATGTCCTGTGCTACATCAGGATGGAATGAAACTGTCTACCAACAAGTCAGCATCTGCTATAAGCCAGATCTGTCCTCAGAGGAGTCTAGCATGATGGTAGACTTTGCACACACAAAGCCTAGTGTTGACTAAAGGACAAGGAGTTGGGAGGGAGGGAAAGGTTGAATAGGCCTAAGGCTGGAAAGACTATTGAAGAGGCTTGCACCTGAACTCTCACAACCTTCCCCAGCTGCCTGCCATGGACTCCTAGTGAGAATGGCAGGGGTCTGAGTGTGGGCATTGAGGGAAAAACTGAAGCCCAGAGAGATTCAGTCATTTACCCACCATGCCATCATAGCTTCTAAGAGCTTCTGGATTATCCCCAGCCACATTTGAGAAACACATTGGCCTGTGACTAACAAGCTGGAAGATGTTAGAATGTCCCAATTATATATACAACAATCTCACGACTGAAGTTAACCTGGGAGATAGAGAGGCTCTGTCCTCAGAGTACCAAGACCACAGAAACAAGGAACAAAGCTTGAGAGGCAGGGCCATCTTCCCGTCAATCTCATTCAGCATGTCCCCAGGAATGGGGTTTCCCATGGACACAACATGTGGGTTGGTGCCTCTGCCAGGGCTCTATCTATCTAGTTCAGAGAGACCACTGAACTGCAGATTGAGAGCTATGGACCTCAAGATTCTCCTTAAACCTTTGTCTTCTTCTCTGACTCTGCCCCTGCTCAGTTCTCACAGTCACAGGACAGCCCTTCTTGTTCATCCCACTTTATATGGTTCCTTGCTACCAGCTCCCTGGGATCCTGCTAGCACTTTACATCTGCCATAGCGATCATCATCTTACCTGGTGACATATATGCTCACGTGTATGTCACGTTAATATTGGTTTTTCCTCTACAATAACACAAGCCTACGAAGTGCAAGGACTTAACTGACTTATTGGCACATATACCACAAGCCCAGAAGTATCCAAACTGCATTGAATAAATACTTTTTGGATAAATAAAGGCTCACTAACTAGCTTAGTGAGATACCTTGTTTTAAAATCTGTTCGAGAACCTGATGAGAAAGGTCTTGGAAAGGGCTCTGTGACAGTGTGATGGTGATAAGCTTACTATTGATAAATGTCTGTCAGACTCCCAGGCTCTGTCTCCTGCTATCATTTAGATGGCAGAGAGAACTTTTTGAGGGTAGAAGAGAATCAGAGATAGAGAGGGAAGGCCTTGGCAAGCTCAGCCTTGAAAGTCCCAGGAAGTGGGAGAAGGGTTAGACAGGGAGAGGCAGGGTAGCTCTGGCTAATCACTAGTCACTGCCTGGCCTGTGTCCAGTGCCCTGACTACCTCATCCCTGTTACCCCACCAAGATCAAGGGTGCAAGTAATGTTCCCCATAGCAGGAGATAGCATCCTTGATGGGAAGTCTATCCTGAGACCTTGCTAATGGTGGTGGTGCAAAAATATCTGTCTCTACTCACATGACTCACCATGAAATGAGCCCTTTACCCTGCAGGTGAGAAGAGAACAGACAACCAGTCAGGCCAGGGAACTTGAAGGCAAAACAGCTGACCAACACTCTGACACTGGCCAGGACACAGCTGTGTTGATCCCTTGACTGTTTGTGTCGTTCCATGTCACCTCCTCTGGCCTTTGGAGGAACTTCATGACCATGTGGGGAACTAGGGGCTAGGCAATGCTATTTCATCTTTCTGTGGGGATTATTTCTACACACTTTTCTCTATAGATGTTAGGGGTGTCAAAGGGAACAGAACTCTCAGTTACAAAACAGGGGCAACTTGGAACTTTTTGCTAAGAGGACAGCATGAAGCTGGATGTGCCCCAGCTCAACAACACAGGAGCTGAACAGGAGTCCTTCAGATGGGATGTTCAGCCCTGCACACTGACCTCAGCAAGAGCCAGGCCAACAGATTAAGTGCAGAAGAACACAGTCTGACTGAGAACTCACTCTGGAGGGTAAAAATGTACCACAGATCCAAATAATTCTTGTCCACAGAACATTTCACTATCCACTAAATCACAGCTTGTTCCCTGCCTCCTTCCCTCCAAGCTAACTTCTGTACTGCTACCCAAACCATCCTCCGAGAACATAGGGTGAAGGCTTCAGGAGCAGCTCTAGCCCAGTGAGAGAGTGAAACTGCTTGACATCATGACAGTGTTGTGTGTTGCTCTCACTCTCTGTACATCCTTAAACACTGACACCCCAAAACCAGGTGACATCAGACATTCTGTCTTCTCATTTCATGTCAGTCCTGTCTGCCTACCTTTATGCATGCTGATCACTTCCTACCACACCCTAGCTCTCTGTCTCAAAAACTGTCCCTGTGGAATCTGCCACACAGGTCTCCTATCACTGCCTCCGAACCTTCCCCAGGCTTCTTTCTGTTCTTACAACCTTGCTCATTATACATCTCCACAAATTTCATGAATAGTACTGCATTAAGTTTATTGTGTGAAATTGCCATTTCCTTAGGTCAGGCATGCCAGAGTTCAGCAATGCCACATATTCAGTGTATGACTATTCTTATGATGGGGTAGTGTTTCCATTCAAATAGTAGCCTGGGGTCCAAAGCTTCCTTCCCCTTTATTTTCTCAGTATCTGAGCAGGGCTCAGCATCCGGGTGCCCAATGAATGCTTTCTGTGTGAGAGTGATGCTGGCAGTGCAGGCTCAAGCTGTTCTGCTAGATGCAAGCACTGAACAAAACCCAAACCGGATCTAGGATGATTGTACAATATCTAACAAACTCTTATCCCAGCCAAGCCTAGCTCCAGATGTTTGGTTGTGCTGGCCAAATGGAGCCTGAGAACATCTCAGAACATGCAGGGGGTGGAAGAGGCGATGATTTAGGGATGACTACCTTTCTGGCAGGAGAAACAGAGTCAGCAGCTGGTGGAGAGGAAGGAGCAGCTGGATCAGGAGACGGAAGGCAAGAGGGAGGAGATGGAGGATGAGTGTGAGGCAGGCGTTTAGACAGGAGTTTATCCTGCAGGGAACAGAGACAGGAAAGAAAGCAGATTATAGCTGTGGTAGGTATAGTGATAGTGCCTTTAACATACCCACGGAGGAGCAGACACCAAGGCCCATGTCTCAGGATGACACAGAAGTGTGTCTTTGGAGCCAAGTGGCACTATGTGGCTCCTGGCTGCACTGCATTCTGCTACAGTTCCAGCTCCCTGAAATACCCCGAGGAGACCCATTCTGCTCCTGCTTAGACCTACCCTAGGCTGCAGTGCTCCTGAGAAGCCCTCATAGAAGAGTTTGGTATGAGGGAGCATCTGCATGTTTAGGAGGGGAGAAGCATGAACCAATGGTGGTGGTGGGGGTGGGTAGCAGCCTACCACAGCTGGGGCTTCTGCAGCTGTAGGCACACACTTGTGCTGGCCTCCCAGAGGCTGCTAGAACCCTGACAATGAACTCAATGCAGAATATTCCTCCTCCATGCAGCTCCACTGAGAGCTAGAGACACAGGAGGAGGCTGAGTGAAGGTTGCTGAGATAGATGTGTTCTAGAGACAGCTTGCTGAAGGAGGAGGATTTCACAAGTATACCCCTTTCCCCGCCCCCACCTCCTGAGCTTCACTATTACTCCCAATTCCTGCTCTGCGAACATCAACTCTTCTTTGTCTACCAGTTACTAAGTAAGTAGGTGGCCTGGAGGAAGCTCTACTTCCCATACTAAGGCAAAGTTGCTTGTATTAACTTAGCCTTGTTGCTTTGAGAGACAGAGCTAAAGTTGAGGCTAACTTCCCTGACTGGGGGGCAGGGGGGATGGGCAGTAACAGCACAAGCAATAGGCTTGCTTTCACCTTTAAGGCACCCAGAGCCTTGCAGTTGACCAGAATACTCCTTTCCCTCCCAGGAAGCTCAAAGTGTGCTAGAAACTATATAAGCTGTGGTCCATAGGCCACATATACCCCAGGATATCTATAAATGTAACCAAGCACATTTGTAGATGACAGCATCATATCCCAAAGTCAGAAGATGGGACACCCTTGACTAGGGTTGTTTTGGTTGACTTAATGTTACTTTGTATGAACTTAGGGTTTCAGTGTGTAGTCCTGGCTGTCCTGGAACTATTAGACCAGACTTGGGCTCACAAGGATCTACTTGCCTCTGCCTATGCTGTGTTGGAATTAAAGGCTTGCACCACCACACTCAGCCCAACTAGGGTCTTAAAGCCCCCGTTTTTGCTGGGTGGGGTTTCTTTTCACTTGAGTTTATTCTCTTGCCTCCATTTCCCCTTGGTATAATGTGTCTACCTCAAAACTGTACATCTGGGTCTCTTAGATGCAAACTCAAATTTATCAATGGCATGAAAAGTGAATTGCTTCTTGTACTATAGAAAAGAAAGAAGAGAACTGAATTTCTGGGGCTGGTTCATGGCTACCTGGCTAGACATCCAGCCCTGGTTGCTGAAGACTCTGAAAGCCCCTGGTTTACCTGTGGGACATCCCCGTGTCCAAACATGGAGGCCAGGTGAGCTGCCTTCTCTTTAATGTTCTTTTTGTGAAATTCCCTGTTAGCCAAGTTCTGGGCCCTCTTCTGCAGTCAAGGTGAGAAAGGAGAAAGATGGTGACAGTGGCCATTGAGTCACCTCCAAGGGAGAAGGGAGGGAGTGAGCCAGGCTTGTCTCTTCACACACAGCAGACAGAGGAACAGGGAGGGAAGCAGAGGAAAAGGGACCAGCTCCTGGAAGATGAGGAGCAGATGGACATGGACACAGGGAGGCAGAGAGGGTGGTCACCTGAAGAACCTTTTCTTCTACTTGCTGCAGCCGCCGCAGCACCCCGGACAGGGCCAGTGCCCCTTGGCAGTTGGGAGGTAGGGCAGCAAGATTTTCAGCCCCACCCAGTTGCAGGTCTGATTTGGCCCTGGCTCTCCAGGGTCGGCTTGGGCACTCGCCACTAGCAGGAACTTGATTGAGTTCTCTGAGCACCTGTCCTGTTGCCACCACGGAAGAGAACTGGGAGAGAGGGGGAAGTCAGCTTTCTCCCCTTTACAGGCCCCTCCCTCATGAGGAACCCCCATAAGGACCAGAGATAAAGGGTACAGCAGCAGGCGCCACCTTGAGAACTGTCAGACTAGGCTGGGTGGAGGAGGAGCTTCTGCACCTGTATTGGTAACCCCAGCACTCAGTCCTGGACCTCACCCAAGAGCCATCCAAGAAACCCTCTGCAGCCTGGTTCCCATGCATTTCTTTTTTGAGACTGCCTAGGATACTTTAAGGAAGGTCTGACCCATCCCATTAGGGGTTGTGATTGGCCTGAGTATGCAGGAGCATGGATACACCTTAAACACCTCCTCATGAGACTGGTAAGCAAACACACACACACATAGTTGCTGCATCCAACCTCCACCTACTGCTATCCACCTCTGGGACCCAATATACAACACTCAGTGATGACCAGATGACCCTGGAATTTGTGGACACTCATCCTGACTCTCTTCAGATTTCAAAGCCAGAGATGGAATAAGCCACAGTGTCTCCATGCAGGCTCTGGCCACTCAGGCATCTGGAAAGGCTATTACCATGCCTCAGACTCACTCTTTCAGTGGGTATAGCCATGGACACCCCCACCCCACCGTCCATTTTACTATTGCTTTTTCAATACCTTGGAAATCAGCTTATTCACTAGCCCCTCTGTACTAAAGCATAGCACAGAAAGTCTCCAAAGTGGCCACATGGGGATGCTTACTTTCCCTCAAGCAATAGCATCAAGAGTGTGCATGTTTGGCTGGGTAACAGGGACCAGTGGCATATACTTCAGGTGCGGCCTAGGTAGTTGTCCCCTCCCCCTGGCTTTACCAAAACAGTATCCACTGGAGAGAGCCCTACCTGCCTTTTCAGAGGAGGTAGAAGGCCAGGGGTGGACTCCTCCAGCTTGGGGCAGTGAGAGGTAGCAGAAGGGCGAGAGGCAGAGCATAAGACAGGCTTACCTATGCCTGAGACACGGTGGCAGTCCTGGGAGGAGAAAGGCAGTCCACAGAAGCAGCCCCAGGAGACAGGAAAGAAGAGACAAATGAGAGAAGACAGGTGGGATGGGGAGGAGGGCTAGCAGACTCCACCATGCAGAGGAGTGAGATGGGGCTGGCTAGGTTCCTGCAAGCCCAGCCCAGCTTGGAAACTGGATCTCTGGATCTACAAGCATGTGGATGGATGAGTTCTGTAGTCCCCTGCTCTGGGACAACGTGTGAATCCCACAGGCCTTGCTCTTGGCTCAAACCCAGGGCTCTGAGCCATCAGTGCCAACCTACACCAGGCTAGGGTGGCCAGCACAGTCCTCCTGGAAACAGAGAGTGTCTTGCCCACTCCAGGACAGGGATGTCCAGGCCAAAAGAACAGAGCCAGGCCTCCAGAAGCCACCCTTGAAACTATCTATGTTTAGACAAAGATAGGACTCAAGAAAATTGCCCTTTTGTAACAAATCCACTTCCTAGGGAAGGTTAGTTATTCATGAAGGGTGTGGCTCACTCTAAGATCAGGAGCCATTCATGCTTGCCTCTAAAGTTAGCCAGGGAAAAGACTGTCCCTTTCCCCCAACCAAATGAGCCCAATTTTGTCATGGTACCGGCGTTCAGTATAGATGAAGGGAATCTGGCCCCAGAGTTTTAAACATGACAACATATCATAACATGGCAACATGCATCCAAAGGCAAGAGAACAGAGAAACCAAGCTATGGGCACAGACTTCAAGTGAGGACTCTGCATAAGCCGGAGTAGGCAGCCTGCCCTGACAAACACAGATCCCACAGGGCCTGCTGGACCACGGGGTGGGACACTGAGGAAGTAAGTCAAGTCCTTGGTGTTGTCTGAGCCAGCACCTCTGGTCAGGGTGCCTCATCTCACCAGGGACTGGGGCAGTTCTCCCCCACACAGCCTCTCAACTGGGACTGTTCCATCTCTCACTGGCTACAAATCATGTTTTGAGTGCAAAACCAAATTAGGAAGTGGATTTAATTACTGCAAGATGGGCACTAGCAAACTGCAGCTCACAGGCCGAATCCAGGGGCCTGTTGGTGTGAATAGGTTGTTTTACTGGAATGTCATCACCCCTACTTGTTGAGGGATCCAGTATGGAGGCCTACATGTTCAAACAGGACGGTATGACTCCACAAAGTAGAAATGAGCTGCTATCTGACCCCATGGAACCATGGAAATCTGCTATTTTATAACCAGGAGGCTGAAGTCTTTCTTTCTTTTTTGTTAGACCCAGGTGGCAAACTTTAGCCCATCTCTAGCCAGCAGGGTTCCGCCACTGGCAGGGTAGGTCCAGTGACCACTTGATAGCATTACCTGTTTCAGGGCTGCAGGGTTCCGCGAGCTCTCCTCAAACTTGGCTAGCAGCTGATTGGCCATGGACTTGACTTTGTTTTGATTGCCACTTTCTCTAGCACACTCTTGAACGGAGCCCAAACTACGGCTGGAGAAGGCTGGCATCTGCAAAGGTTAGAACAGCACAGTGGAATCTGGTTATCATTAGGACATAGGGCTCCTCAGTGGGTTGAGGGAGTGAGAACAGACAACTGAGGTATCCTCTAGAACTGATGCCCACAGCACAATGCATGTGTCTTAAGGATGGGTATACGGGCTTGGGAACCCAGCAGTTAAGGGTTTGAATTCTTTCTCCCTCCCAGCCCTGGACCTAGGCAATTTATGCCTCTGAATTTGCCCCCATCTACAAGATGGGAAGTATGTCCCACTTCAAGAGGTTATTGCAATAAATAAATAAACAAACAAACAAACAAACAAACAAATAAATAAATAAAAGTTTTAATTGAGAAGTGTTACATAAAATAGTTTCCAAAATACATCATTTTGGCTGGGAAGTAGAGAGTGTGGTGAGGGAAGTAAGTTGGCCTATCATAAGCAAAGGCTTTCGGCTTTCCGCTCCTCTTTCTGTACTCCCTTTCCCAACTTCGCCTGCAATCCTAATCTTTAAAGAGGAAAAAATTCAGAAATATCTTTGGATTCACACAGCAGGCATAAAGGCGTTCAGCCTGCTCTGGAGCACGCCTCCCCAGCCCTCTCTGATGTAGCTTCAGGAATAATCGCAGCACTGTTATCAAAGCTAGAGAATGGACACTGGCATGATGCTGCGAACTGGACCAAGGGTTCTGTTTGGATTGCATCAGTTTTTCCATTCCCACCCATCTTCTGCTCCAGGCTCCAATCCAGGCTCCCACACATTGAGTCATCTTGTCTCCTTAGCCTCCTCCAATCTTGGCGATTCCGCTATCTTCTTTGGCTCTGACACTCCTGAAGAGCACTAGGCAGCTATTTTATAAAAAGATCTCAATCTGTGTTATCTGATATGCTTTCACAATTAGCCTGGGACTGAAGGTTCTGGGGATTCATGGCACAGGGGTGAAGGGCCCTTCACATCCATTCTACTGGGACGCACGATGGCAACAAGACTCGTGCAGAGTGCTGGGAAGCTTGGTTTCGATGGCGTATAAAACTGAGTTCCATTTCATTCATCTACTAACTAATACAATTTGAAAATTTCTGGTATTTCCTAATGTGTCTTTTCCTGTTCCATGCCATCTTCTCCTACACACCTCAGAGCATACAGAGAGGTACTGTGACAGGTGGGTTGGTGGTCAGACCCCTGAATGAGACCATGAGTCTTCCCCACAGGAACAGTAGTCATGAGATGGTAAAGATGTGTTTGTTCATTCAGAAGAGATGCATGGGAAGATGTATGCTAAAGTTGGTTGTTATTTAAAATAAGATTCCAAAGAGAAGCAGTCTGGGGGAGGGGTTTGTTGAACAAACACAACAATGGAGAGCCACTCCCTGCTTTAGCGTATGTAGTGTGGTTGCACATGGATGCATGGTCAAGGGGGTGGATGGAGTCTATTGAGTAAACACTGCACAAAATCAAAGTTATCAAAGTTGGCCAGAACAATGGTCTACTCAGTCACCAATGCACAAATAATCATTGCTCCATTTTCAAAACCAGATTTGATTCATTCAGTCAGGACACCAGGGTCTGCATTACTCTTTCATTTTTATTTTTTGAGTGTGTGTGTGTGTGTGTGTGTGTGTGTGTGTGTGTGTGTGTATGAGAGAGAGAGAGAGAGAGAGAGAGAGAGAGAGAGAGATATGCACATGGGTGCCTGTGGAGGCCGGAAGAGGGCATTGAATTCCCTGGAGCTGCAGTTTTAGGCAGTGAAGAGTTGAGAGCTACCTAATATAGGTGCTGGGAACTGAACTCAGGACCTCTGGGAGAACGGTGAGCTCTCTTAACTGCTCAGCCATATCTCCAGCCCCTGAAGCCACAGTTCTTGATGGAATCACCACCAAAAGCTCTGGGAACCTTTCAGATGAGGGGAGTGAGCATGTTCACACTGTAAGATGGGAACTCCAGATTTCCTTTGATCAGAAAATGAGGCCAATGGTGGCTAGCTGCACTCTATCAGGGTGGGTTCCTGGCTTGACTGAGAGCTCACTGATAGGAAGGGGAACAAGTCTGAGGCATGAGCAATAATGTTTTATAAAATAAAACAATAAAGCCTTTTCAACCACACAGAAGAGGCAACTAAGTCTCTTATAATCCTGGAACCAAGCATCAATGTAGTTTATAAACCAGCCCACATGCCTCTGAGTCATCTTTGACATCAGCCAGCAGCCTAGCTAAAGCTGACATCCACACATCATTGGCATAGGTATGGCTCCTTTTGCAGAATTAGGATGGCTTTGAAAAATGAAGTACAGGACTGTGGAGGGGATAAAACATGAAGACCTGAACTCAGGTCCCCCCAATACCCAAATGAAAAGCTGGGTGCAGTAGCACATGTCCACAGTCCCTCCCGGCAGTGGGAAGTGGAGGCAGGCTGATCCCTGGGGATCATTGGCCATGCAGTCCAGCCTAATGGATGAGCTATCACTTCTGTATGAGACTCCGTCTCAAAAGATAAGGTGGAAAGGAAGGAAGATGCTTCACATCAATCTCTGACCTTCACATGCATAAGGTGTATCATCACGCTCCAACATGTACATGCACGTGCACAAATAAGATGAAAGGAAGTGCACATCTTATGTCTCTTTGAATGGTTTCATTAAAGTAGAATTCACGCCCTCCTGCTCACATTTTCAGAGGGAGGTTCTAGACTTTGACACTATCCCCTACAATTTTCTCCTTTCACCAGATGGTGGCACTTGTGGGTGTCCAACATTTGTCTTAAAGGCTACAAGTACAGAAGAGAGCAGCAAAAAGTTCCAAGAGCAGGCCTGCTGGTGATTTCCCTACTTACTATAATTAGTAACTCACTATTAATTAACCATGTTATTTATGTCATCTCATTAATCTAAAAACCCTTCAAAGTCTCAAACATTTTGGGTATATCAGCACATTTTAGACAGCCAGAGCCCTCACCCCAGGGAGGTTTCATCCTGCAAGGTTACACAGCTAGGAAATGGTAAAGTGATTAAACTGAGCTTGGATCCCAGTGGTTCATGACAGAAAAAAAACAAAACGGGACCAAGGTTAAACCTCCCAAAGCCACTGGTCTTCAGGACATGGGCCTTCGTACCAACTGAGCCCAGACACACATACCTCTTCCAGATTGTTGAAGCCCTGTCGCCTCCTCTTGTTCATGTCATTCTCTTCGGTCTGGGTGTCTACCTGCAATGGCCAAGAAAGCATGGTGAGCTTGGGGCCATGAACACTGTTCGATCTGGAAGCGCAGAGGATGAATGCTTGTCTGGACAAGGCTGTCAGGTTAATGATAGGCATGGGAACAGACGGCCCCACACATAAGTGCTGCCATGGACTTATAGCCAGATACAATGGAGAGCGCTTCCACTCTATCTCAGAATCCCTATGACACAAGTAGGGCAGGCATCATCTCTGTTACAGTGGCTTTGGGCTTGCAGGGGGTTTAATCATGTGCCTGAGGTGAGAGCCAGGCCTGGGGATGCCCTCTGTGTTTGCTGCCCTGTGGGAGAACTCCCTGGCTTTCTCTGCTCCCTGGGCCTCCCATGAAGAAGTGGGACAGGTTCTCAGGACTTGAGTGAGCTATCCAGGGATTTTGTGTCAAGTTAAGCTGCAACCCAGCCACCATTACAAGATTTAATTAATTTCAAATAAATATTAGCTCCAACCTGAGGACTAGAGATCAAATGTCCAGCTTGCCAAGGATGGTTCAGATTTATTGACTCCTTCAGTCACTGTAACTATTAATAGATACATTCCCTTTCCTAGAGTATTACCCAGCTATCCCAATAACCCCTCATAGCTCACCCCCTGATGCCTGAATCTGAACAATCTACCTAAGGCCTGTCAGGCTGGCCTAGGCAGGTGAGGAGGGGTGTAAGGACTGAGCCATCACCATGACCTGGGGTGGGGGTGGATCTGAGTATTGTGCCTTCTCCACATGCATCCTTGGTCCCAGATTAGGTCTGTTTCTTAAGAGGAGACATCTTAACCACCAGCTTCTCCCAGTGGTTATCTCCTGCTGGAGTCTGGAGTCATATCCCACAGAGCATGTATCCCATCTGCACATTTCTCCTACACTTTGACTTCCTCCACATCACATTCCAGCCTTTCAGACACCATGAATACAGGAAGAGGTGCCACAGGTTCATTGCAAACCCAGGTGTGACATCTATCCAGGCCCAAGTATAGTTCTGCCTAGCCCCAGAAGGTTTCTTTCAGGCCTGGATTCTCTGAAGTAGCAGTGAGGGAACCCTAGCACAGGTCTACTGTGCATCACTAGAGTCCACTAAACACCCTCATTACACACACACACCATACACACAGCACATATCATACCACATACACATACCCCCCCCCCCCACACACACACCTGTCATGTTCACCAGCCCCATTAAAAGAAAAATCAAACACAGTTCAGTCATGGATATTAGGTAAAAATTTTGATCAAGGCACCATAAAACAACAGATCAAAGAGCTCTGCCTCCCTTCAACATCTCTTTCAACTTCTCATAAATCACTATTTTGTGAATGGAAATAATCCCAGTCTAAATGCTTGAACAAACACCAAGAGAAACAGATGACCTTATTCTCAACAATGTTGAGTTTTAGAGGCACAAAGTGTTTGGGCTCCCAACTCCACTGACTGTGAATGCCACTTAGGCCCAGAGACCAGAGCTGTGAAAGCACAGAATGTCCCATCAACAAGAATGCTTCATGCATAATCTCAGGGTTCTCTTTGTATTTTTGTTTCCAATTTCAATGAGGACTTGGCTTTTCTCACAAAGAGCAATACATTTTGCTCTCTCCCTTAGACTTGACAGCCCAGGGCGGGACCATTCCAACAACTAGAGCTTGGCTAGACCCCATTCAAACATGTGACTTAAGGGCTTACAAAATGCAGGCCAAGGTGGTCTGCCCAGTCAGCAGCTCCTAGAAGATCCTAAATCTCTTTGGGAGAATAAATGAAGTATAAGTGACATCCTTTGCTTCTTAGGTGCCCCCAACTGTGACCCTGGGAAATAAAAGTCATCTGCATGGACAGGTTAGCAATGCACACACATTCACACAATGTTTACTTTCCCCTATGGAAAAGTACTGTTGAGATGCAGGTCAAAATGAAAGTCTAAGAAAACTAAAATGTAGAGGTTTATTTATCTATTTTTTCTCACTAGAAGCCAAAAATTGACTCAAAACCTCTAAAGCAGCAGAGCAACTGGTAAGTGGTTGTGCTATACAGAATAACCTCCACCCATGCTTGTACAAGTGAGCCTAATTAAACTCAGCGGGGCATGGGCACAGACACACATACACATGAAAGTCAAAGGGGACAGGTAGAGAGAAGAGGGGCTTCTGTGGGAATGGGGGTGTGTTGGGGTAGGTATAATAAAAATATATTACATATTACATACATGAGTGAGATTGTTAAAGAATAAATAAAAATTTTACAAAAAGGCTCTAATCACTCTGGACTTTATTATACTTGACATAGAACCAGAAGCATAACAAAACCAAATATTTCTCATGGCCAGGCAGAGAGAACATGAGAATAAACAAATGACTTATGTTCTCTTCCTATTAACTTTTCCAGCTCTTTCACCCTAGGAACATTTTCTTATCGTGGTTTTCCAAGGATTTGAAAGAGCTGATATGCCAAACAGCCATTTATTAAACTAAATGGTTTCCCTCTTTAAATAACAATCAATGTCTCATATCCGCTCGTCTGATTATTAATCTGACTCGCTGAAGACAGCCATGTCCTCACACATCCTGAGTTGTTTTGGCTCAATGCAAACAACATTTATATTTAGTTATCTGGCCTAGTCTAACCAGGGAGGACTTTAGCTCTGATTGAGTTGGATATCAGCTTTGATATTTAAAAAGGCCAGTGACACTAGCAAGAAAGATCTTTCTTCAAGGAATCACGGATTCAGGTGCTAGTCTGTGGCTAGTGATGTTCAGAAAATCATCTAGTTATGTTGCCTTCAGTGCCCTCACCTGTAGGAAAGAATCTAACAGCATCTACTCAGAAGCTACTGTGAAGGTCGATGGAATCACAGGATGTAAAACACTTCTTACACCACACTTGCTGTGCAAGTGTCACGCTATTAGGAATAGAACTTTAAACATCTGAATTCTTTGATGATACTAGTATAACTTATTAAAACTTTAACAACTCCAAGTTTCCCTACCCACTACATTGCAAGGACACTATATTCCCAACGTTCCTCCAAAGGATGTTTGTAAAGGTGGGTAGGTGGATGGATGGATGGGTACATGGGTGAATGGACTGATAGGTAGGGGATGGACAGATAGGTAGCTGGATAGATAGATAGATCGGTGGGTGGGTGGGTGGGCGAATGGACTGATGGATAGATAGGTGGATGGGTATGTGAATGGGTAGGGAGATAGATTGATTGAAGGATGGGTGAGTGGGTAAGTGGATGGGTGGATGGGTGGATGGGTAGATAGGTGAATGGACCAATGTGTAGTAGATAGGTGGGTAGATGGATAGTTTGTGAGGAGGCTAGATGAATAGAAGAGGTACTTTAAGAAACACCTTTGGCTTTCTGTGGGTTCTAGAGCAACATCTGGACCACTCTGACTATACACAGAAGAGACGTGCTGTGTGTGACTTCACTTCTACCAGGAACCAGTGTTGGTAAAGCAGGACCTAGCTGAACAGGGAAAGTCTCTGGGCTACCCAGCTGACTTTTGGAATGTGAGTGTGAGGCCAGCCTGGTCTCACATAGTGAGACCTGATCTCAAAAAAAAAAAAAAAAAAAAGTCTATATTATATTTGAATTAAGCTCATGGTTTTGTGTTAGGCTATATTCATAGATATTCTGGGGATACACTTCCACCTTCAGGCCACAAGTTGGATATAATGAATAAAATGACAATTATTCTTCAGATCTGTGGTTCCCAAACTGTGTAGCTAAGTATCCCATGATACCAGAGTGAACCAGAAGAATGGCAGGACATTCAGTAGCATTTGTAACACCTCTTGAAAAATACTGATTATTTGAACTTAATTGCTTAGGGAACAGAACACAGGCATTTTCCCCTTGATTTGGGAGTACTATGAAAAAGTCGCAGACACAAAGGGTTGGTTCTAGAAGCTCACTACATCCTGGGCTTATGCCAATTAGTGTTTGACAACGTGGTACAAACCAGAGGGAACTTCAACTGAGGAAATGGCTCCATAAAACGGGCCTAATGTAGACAAGTCTGTGGGGATTGTTTTGACTGCTCACTCATGTAGGAGGGCCCAGCCCACTGTGGGTGGTACCACCTCAGAGCAACTGGTTCTGAGTTGTAGAATAAAGCAGGCCAGCAGAGTGAGCACTCCTCCATGGCCTCATCTTCAGTTCTCACTGCTAGGTTCCTGCTGTGAGCTTCTGCTCTGGATTCCTTTGATCATGGACAAAGATATGGATATATAAACCAAATAAACTGTCTCCTCCCACAACTTGGTCTTGTCCATGTTTTATCCAAGCAACAGAGAAGCAAACTAGGATGGGACTCAAAGCCAAGAACCCCACATCATTCACTTCTGTTTAATTACTCCTATCATCAAAACAACTAAAAGCCACAGCCTTAAAGTTAGTGGAGCACTATGACTATGAATGAATGAACGAATGAATGAATGAAATGAATGGAGACGTGAGACTGTAGACTACTATCATACCCTCACCACTTAACCAATGTCCATCATACCCCTGATCAGAAATGTCTAATGGCATGAGAAATAAGCTCACTTCACCACTCAGGGTGCAGAGCTAACCTGGGTTCATTCTTAAAACACACACACACACACACACACACACACACACACACACACACACTGAGCTATGTGCACATCCTTTGAGTCTTGCTCTACATAATTTGTCAACATAGACAAACCTGGAGACGAATTCTACTTCCTCTTCCATGATTACTTGCAGTGAGGAAGAAACAAAAGACCTGAAACTTACCCGTGGGGTCCTCTTCCTGGGGAATGTGAGGTTGAGATAGTTATTAGGAATGAATGGTTTGCCCAAGCCGAAGTCAGCATTTTCTCCATAGTTTTTACGCCAGGAATCTGTTGAGAAGTAAAAGCATCATTGGGATCCAGGGTCCAGGTGGTGATGTAACTTGTGGGTGTCCTTGTATCAGGACTCTTCTGGAATAATTCCCTTACCCCACCCTTTATGAAGCCTTGAGTGGCAGAGGGGTGTGGAGAGGCCACCATATCTCTTCAAGTAGTCACCTTTATTTGGCCTCTGAATCAAAGGGAAGGTGTCTGGAAGCTGCAGAGTAGACAGCACCAGCCAGCTCAGGCTGGGGGGCAGAGATGATACTAGAAACTAGACACAGGCTCCATGCTTACCCATGGGTCTCAGCGGGGTGCCCCGGAAGAGCTCATAGAACTTGGAGAGGTACATAACCATGCTGAGCTTGTCAGGCTCCTGAGTAGATGCCATCTCTTTGCCTGTAGTCACAGGCAGGATCCCAAACTCACGCTTGGCCACATCAAATGCCAGTTGATTATTCTCCACAGCATCATCTTCATTCAGTGAGTCAAAGTTGCTGGAAGACCAATGCCAGGTGAAGTTCAGGGTGAGACAGGAGGCACTGAGCCCACAAGGAACACCGTGGGCTGATGACTTTTTAGCCCCATTAAGTCCCAACCTCAAGCCCAGGAACATGCCTTGCTTGTGAAGTGACTGAATCAAACTGAATCAGACCATAATTATACCACTGACCTAGGCTGAAACCATCAAAAAATGATTTACTCTCTTTGGAAAATATAGAAGTTAGTTTAATTACTTCTCTTTTTCATTTTAATTGCTATGGTAACAGGATCTTTCTCAAACCAATCAAATTATATGTATCATATGGAGATTAGATTCTTATCTCCTCATGGCTAGATGAATTTGGTAGGTTTCCATCAACCCTTTAAGAAGGGTAGACATCTGCTGATTCCCAGGTCTATAGGTATTTTCCCCCCTTTGGAAATCATGAAGGGTTTCTAGAATGTCATCTCATCTTCCAGTTGACCCTGCCATTTTGCCAACATATGAAGAAGTCTTAGAAGATTCTAGAAATGATCTGATGAATCTGGGTGTCAAAAAATACTTCTTTGGCTAAGTAGGTCTCTTTTATACTTCCTATACTGAGGGAGGGAGTTCTGAGGCCTATGTTTGATTTCCAAAATGTGGCTATTAGGGTTGGGGGGGGGGCAAGTGCTGAGACACAACCACTGATCCTACGATGACAGACATGTACTAGGGACACAGGGCACATAGGTTGCTGAGGTTCCTTGTGTCCAGGGTCTAACACTCACATCAGCTCTGGCCGGAAGCGGTGGATGATGGCACACAGTGCCAGGCCACTGCGCCAGGATGTGGTCAGGTCAGTGACATGGACATGCTGGTAACCCTCGGTCTGCTGCTGGCACCAGGTTAAGAGCTTGTTAGGCCGGATGTCTGACTCTGTGGGGAAGATATAGGTGGTGAGGCTTTGCAGAAATTCCCAAGAGTTCAGCCTGAGGATCACTCCCACTGCCATCAGGGATGGGAACCAGGAAGGCTGGATAGCATAGATGTAATGCTGCTGGCTACTGCACACTATATCTCATAGCACCATCTCTAGGGACCACTATGGCTAGGGTCCAGGATTGGAGGCTAGGAACATAGACCCTGCATCTATTAGGTGACACTAATGACATGGGGCTGTCATGGACAGAGGTGCTCACAACCAGGTTTGATGCAAGCTGGCCCAGGGAGAACTCCCTAAAGAAGATGTTTGGGGATGTGTATTTGAGCTGGCTATTGAAAAATGTCTAGGAGTTCATCCAACAGTGGCATTTCAGAAAAACAGGATGGAGTGACAGCAAAGAATGTGGAGAGCTTGTCATGCTTGTGCAACAATCAAAGTTTATTACTGTAAACTGTTTTATAGCAGCTGGGTATGTGCTGTGTGCAGGGAAGTAAGGGAGAAGCTTGACACAGAGGGAGCTGGGGTATCTCTGGGTTGGAGAGGAAAGGGGCCCTAGAGAAAGGCTGTTGGGGAGTTACTCATTGAACCATCCCTCCCCTGCCTCTGAGTACCACTGAGTGCCAGTGCTGTGTCAGGATTAGAAAGATAAGGAGAGGGGGAAAGCCCAGGAATCTGTTGTCTAGCTGCTGTCATCCCAGAAAAAGCAGGCAAAGAAATCCCAGCCCCGTGGCACTCCCTACAGTAGACTTTCCTGTGCTAAGTCCTTAGCGAGTAACTGTATGTCTTAATTCTGATAATCCTGTCTTAGTCTTACTCTTATAGATAAGGAAACTGAAGGACAAAGAGGAGAGGCACCTGCAAGGTCACATGGGTATGGGGCAAAGCTAGGCTGTCCTGGGTCCGAGCAAGCCTCATCCCCTGCACAGCTTGTCCCGGGGTCTCAGAAGGGCAACTTACCCCGCCTGGAGAGGCTAACAGATCTCCTCACTGTGCCCCATCCCTCAAGAGAGAAGCGCTCCAGCTCCTTAGTGATGTATAAATGCTTCACCTACAACCAGGAAAAGAACACACATCTACCCATCAGTTCCCAGATCCTGGGCTGGAAGCCTCTCTATGCTCCACACCAGACTCCCAGCCCGGTACTACGTTCCTCAGGTTTTGGCTGCTGTGATTGTCAGCAGGGAATCCAGACAACTGAGCACAGACAACAGGCCTCAACTGTCTTCCCAAATGAGGCAGAACTGACAGTGACTATCTAATTTGCTAGTAGGAACCCATATTATTCTCTGACCTATTAATCGAAGACGATAGAAGTGGGGTGGATAAATGACATCCAGAAAGGGAGGCAATATCTAGGTAAGTGGATCATTTCTGAGAGAGAGGAATGATCAGTGTCACATTTGCACAGGGACAAATTAACATGTGAAAATATATAAATAAGCACATATGCACAGTAACCTATGTGTTCTAATTCCCTCCTATAGACTATAAAGAGGCCTATAGGCCTTTATTGTACCTTTGCATCTTGTGGGGAAAAGAATTGGCTCCATACCTTCACTAGCAAGCTTTGGTGACCTCAGTTACAGGAATGTCACAATTTATGAAACCAGTCCTTTTTTAAAAGTCACTGCAGGGCTTGAGACAGACTAGGGGGTGGGCTTACCTGGTGAGGCCTCACGCAGTGCAAGTTGAGGTTTGGGTACCGTGTTGCTGGGTCCAACGTATACTGCTCAAAATTTTTGTTGATGTTCTCTGGGGTTGTCTGAGGTAGCAACCGGTAAAGACTTTCTCTGCAGGGAGTCAGAGCCCAGAGGTCAGGGGTTACTCTTGCCACCTCAGGCCCTAGTTCCTATACACTTCTCTCCCCCAGGCCTCCAGCCTCCCTGGTTCCAGGGAAGGCCTCTGGATGTGTTTGCATAAACCTCCATTGTAATCTGACATACTTCTGAGAGATGCAAAAATGTGGGGGAGGTAAAGGAAGGGGGAGAGGAGGAAGAGCGTCCAGGTGGTAGGGATGTGGTTTCCTTCCTTGAGCAGGAGGCAGGAATGCAGGCCCAACATCTCAGTAGCCTCTGGTTCAGCTAAAGCCACCACCCAGCCACAATGCTCCTCTGGCCTGCCTCTGTGGCTGCAGGGGTCCACACCCAAGACCATCAAAAGCCTGTCTCCCATATCAGCAATAACTCTCCAAGTCAGCCAACTGTTCATTGTCCCATGACCAGCAGCAAGGGCCTGGGAGCAAGCCAGGACTTCAACTGTAGGAGAGGCCTGGCAGGTCACAGGATCCTTACCCAGGACAGGACACTGTGCAACGTCCTTGAAGACTTCCTTAAATAAACCTCTTGGGCCTTGTGGGGATGAGAAAAATCAGAGAGTCCTGATTTAGGACTAGTCCATGTCAAGATTTGTCTCCATTAGTGAGAAAAACTCACTGATAGAGAGGGATCATGACCCAGTGAGTGTCCTTGACGACCCTGAGATCACATCAGGCCACATAGCCAAATGGTAGATTATGCTCAATGCAGAGGCTGCAGGGCAGCCAGCCTGGCTCTACTCCTGCCTAAGCCTTCTACCCAGCAGCCCCCCAGTTAAGAGCTCTGCTCTTGAGGCTCACCTTTCAGCCAGCACCTGCAGAGGAGGGGTTCCCTGGTCCCAGCTCTTTACCATCCATGCTGTGTCAAAGGCCGCCAGGAAGCCCCGTGCACAGCCCGTGCCCATGGGCCAAAATGGCTGTAAAAGAACACATGTCAAATTCTTATCGAATCTAGTGACTCCCAGTCTCCTCTCCCATTCTATCTGGCACTCTCTGGTTGCCAGCTATGAGCCAGAGCACATGGAACCCTGCTGCCCACAGTTTACCAGAATCCCAGGTAGCTGTAGCACAATTGTGAAGGGTATAATAGCCCCCCCCCCCCACGTAGCAAAGCTACCTGGGGGTTCTAGAAGAAATAGAATGGAACCAGGAAATGATTCATCAATGTGCGGCCTTTATGCTCATGGTAAACATTGGATAGGATTCTGATCTCCTTCCATTTGGGAAGATCAGTGGCAAAGGCTTTGTGGCTGGACAACGATGGAGCCTGCCAGAGCACTTAGCACAGGAGGGGAATGAGGATGGGGAGGTTGGGAAGGAGCCAGGGATAGAAGCGACATGCCACAATAAGGGAGAACAAGGATTGATCTGGTCAAGTCAAGGACAAATAGCTTGCCCCATGGTGTACACAGAGCAGGGTTTGCAACTGGACTCTCAGCAATAGATAACTTTATAGACACTGTTGGTGTTCACATTAAGATCAGAGGCTAACCCTCAAATGGTCATTTATCTGAAGATCCTTGCACTTATGGGGTCATGATGGAAAACCCCATGTCCCCACAGCCTTCCTTATACTCTAGATTTCTACACTGCAAGGCACACAGGGCCACCCACATGGGTAACAGGTCCCAGCCATGTTGTGAGAAGGACAGTTCTGGGCTCTAGATCAGGGTTGATTAGTTTTGTTCTTCAATCTAGAAGCAACTAGAGAAGCTGAAAATGGGAGAAAAGGCTTCTGCTACAGGCAAACTGACAAATCCCAGAATATAGCCAAAAGGGCTGGCTCCCACGCCAACACGGCCTTGGTAGAGGTCATTGTCTGAGAACCTGCCCTTCCCTGGGATGTTGGCTGCAGAGGTTACAAGCCTGAGTGCAGATGCGGAGAACTGAACTGTACCATGAGTAAAGGGCTCTAAGGGCAGGTGGTACCTCAAGCAAGCTGTCACCCACAAGGGCCACAAGCAGCTGGTGTGCCTGGCGCTCACGCATCAGGGCTGCATTTTCTGAGGCATACATGGAGGTGAAGTCGAACATGGCCACATCAGGCTGCCCATTGTGATTTATGGCAAAGTCTAAGGATGGCAGCTGGTAATTGGTGGCAAAATCTGCAGCTTCACGGGCATAGGAGAGCAGGTTATCCTGGTTCACGTTCTCCGTACACAGCAGCATCTCCGTGTCAATGTAGTCCTGGGGAAGATCAAAACCTATATCAAAATCTCCCTCTTCTCCAAAGGGCTAGGTTCAGACCCCCTTTAGACGAAAGACCATGGGATGGGTCTTTACAGAGATGCTAGTCAAAACAAAAACAGAGGGGCTGGGTGATGAGTCAGTCTGTAAAGCATTTGCTGTGAAAATATGAGGGCCTGAGTTCGATCCCTGGAACTCACATTAAAAAGCCAGGTAGAAAAGTATGTGATTATATTCTCTTGCTGAGGAGGCAGAGATGAAAGGATCTCCAGGAATCCTTTGCTAGCCTGCCTAGCCTAATGGGTGGACTCCAGGCCAGTGAGAGACCTCGTCTCAAAAGACAAGATGATGACTCCAGAGGAATCACCCTGTAACCAAGCTCTGACCTCCACAGAGATTCACACACGTTCATGTGTGTCTGCAGGAAATGTGTGTGTGCACACATGTGCACATATGTATGAGCATACATGTGTGAACCCAAACTAGAAAACCAGAGGCAAGAAAATAAACACATGGTCCAGCCACAGTGGTTAGCATGGTTGTGATTAAGCACCCAGTTTGGCTTTGGGCTTCTTGGCATTCAAGGTGAAGGGAAAATGTGATATGGGCTTTCCTTATCAGAAAATGTAGCATAGCAATTCCTCACAGGAGGCAAGTTTTTCCTGGCACGGAGTGCTGAAAGATCTCTCTCATGTAGGAATTTAGACAGAGGACACTGGGAACTGTAATGAACAGTGCTTGATAATGGCCTCCCGGCAAACAAGGAACACATACATTGCGCATGGCTGGTTCTGGTGATAACTTTCAGTACAAGTAAGAGACAATGGAATAAGCCAGTGATTTAATAATGGGTGGATTTGAGCTACCGGGGTGCAGATATGCTGTGGTTAGTGTCAAACAAGATAAGAAAAAAGAGGGTATGCCATGTCACTCTCTGGATTTCTTTCCAGACTCGGTTGCCCACTTTTCTGTGATGCTGGGGATGCTTGCGGCTTGGCTGTGAAAGTAGGCAGTGTCCCACTTGTCTGCTGGGGTGGAGACACTTCGACAATGAGGAAACTCATCCCAGGGATGCAGAGTGCTAGAGAATGAAAAGTTTAGAAGATTTCCAAAGTCTATTCTGCTCATCTTTGGCAAAGAAACTTAAAGGCCACCTTTCCTAAGGATGATGTGAAAGGGCAATTTTCCATTGATAGAATGCTTGCTATTGTATGAAAAATCTGGGTTCACTCTCCACCACTGAATAGAACTGGCAGTGGTGATATGTGCATGTAATATTAGTATGTGGGAGATGGAGGCAAAGTGATCAGGAGTTCAAGGTTATCCTCACCTGCAAAATGAGTTCAAGGCCAGCTGGCATATATAAAACCCTGTCACAGCTGGAATTCTGTTTAGCTTCATTCTGAGTCTCCATTTTCTCATTAGCAAAATCATAATTATAAGACTCCTTGTAGCCAAATGAAAATGAAGAGAATGTATATACATGAAATATCCCATGCCATGCCTGGTACACAGGAAATGCTCAATAGACACCCCTACCAATTCATAATGTCATGAATGGTATCATACGATGAGATGTGACTAGGTTCATCCAAGGGTACATCTACAGGTCCTAAGATATACAATCTCCTCTATACCCAGAGTGAACTTCTGATTCCATTTCCTGTGATTTCAAATACTCTGTTTTGGAAATTCTAATATTTCCTCAGAGAATGTATCTAGCATTCACCAAAGAGGGGGCTGAAGAAGCCACCTCAGCACACCTGAGGGAAGAAGAGGACATCATATCTTCAGACTGACCAGCCAGTAGTCGTCAGCTGGCAGATGCAGAAGTTTGGTGATATCAGCAGCTGGTGTGTGTGTGTGTGTGTGTGTGTGTGTGTGTGTGTGTGTGCGTGTGTGTGTGTGTGTGTGTGTAAGGTGAGGCTAGCTTCACCTGTCTGATCTACAGCCTCTACCCACATCCCATGCTCTTAGCAGAGGCCCCAGCTAAGGTGGAGGAGGCCAGGGGAGGTCTGGGTTACTCATGATTCCAGGCCAAATGCCAATACAAGCTGGTGAGAAAATAGGTACACTGTACTCTGGCAGGCAACAGTGAGTGGTCCCAGTCCAGGACAGAACCTGGAGGCAAATGACCTGGGGCTGTGGGATCCTTATTGTGAAGCAGTAAGCACTGGAACTCTAGAAGGGCGAGACCTGACCAAAGCTCTGGTCCTCCCCACTTCCTCTCTCTCATTTTTATTCATCCGTATGCATGAGTCTATGTAAGTCTATGCCATGTGCATGTAGTGCCTGCATAGTTCATAAGAGAAAGCACCAGATCTTCTGGAGCTGGGGTTACAGTCAGCTGGAACCTCCTGATGTGGGTGACAGTTACCAAACATGGGTCCTCTGGAAGAACAGCAAGTTCTCTTAACCTCTAAGTCATCTCTCCAGCCCTACCTTATTCTCTTTTATACTGGATGATGCATGCTGGGCCTGGTGTGTGTGGCTGCAATCTCAGCTCTTGGGAGGCTGAGGCAAGAGGATGGAGAGTTTGAGGGCAGCCTGGGCTAAACAGCAAGGCATTATCTCAGAACAAAAATCATAATTAAAAAGAAGCAAAATCATGGAGAGAAACCAAAGAGCCAACAGGGCAGAAAAAGTTTCCAAACAAGGCTTGGGGGGAAAGAACTCTGAAAACCACTGTCTATCAGGCAATGTGTTAAGCATGATGCATGTGCATACAAATATACATACATGTGTGTACATTCCTCATGCATCCCCTGCCCAAACATAGTTATGTCTCAAGAACCCTTTTCAGAGGATTTATAGAAGTTATTCCATTTTATAGACATAGGAGTGAGAATCAGGAAAAAACTCAAAATCTTGGCCACCATCCCAAGTTAGCTCATGAGAGAACTGGGTCTCTGCAAAAAGTGAGTGCTTTCCCATGGCAAAGGGACACAATGTGAGACTCCCAAGTGATGGCATCTCTATGTTCCACAAGGACAAGGAGTCCCCATCTCCAAGTGAATGTGACCTCCTAGAGAAGGAGTGGGGCCAAATGAAGAATGACATTTGGAAGGGAAAGATTCAGCTGATCACATTCTGGGCAAAAGCCTCTCACCACAACAGGTTTGAAACATATCTATGTGGATGGATAGTCACACAATGCCAAAGGCAGCAAGGTGCCAGGCAGTTTCTCTTTCCCTCCCCCCTTGCATGGGTTCTAGCAGGACAGTATCTTCTCTCACATCTGCTGATGCTGCCAGTCCATGTTGCCTGGGGAAAGACAGGTGATACGTCACTGTAGATGGGTACGTACGTTAATAATGACGCCTTTGTCCAGCAGGCTCTGCTTCTTGGCTGTCATGACAAAGTAGTGGGTACAATCCTTGTAGTAAACAATGTTCTCGAGATCAATCCCTGAAAGGAGAAACATTCAGACTCAGTTTACCAACCTGCACCTTGCTTAATTCCAGGTCTCATTCTGTATGTGCAGAAGATGCATATAAGGCATATAAGATAAATAATAAAGACATACCAGGCTGGGGAAGGCAGAAGAGAGGACCAGAAGTCACCCGGATTAAAGCAGCTAGCTTTTATAATTGCACAGACATGTTCAAAAACAAAACAACATAAACAACCACAGGTGTCTAGTATTTCTAAATTAAACGTAGATAGGAAGTGTTATAGGAAGTGATGGACAGGAATTTGGATGCTAAGCAAAATCCAACTTTGAACCTAACCATATGGCTCAGGCCCCATGCACTGTGTGTCCCACAGAACACGTCTACTATGTATGTCCTCGCTAGCATGAGACAGCCCAGGTCAACGGAACAACAGCTCTAGGTTAGAGGCCTAAATTACATGGTATGTGTGTATGTGCATGTTCCTGTGTGTAGGCCAGAAGAAAATCTCATTTTTCATTTTTCAGGTACCTACATTGACTATCATTGAGTCAAAGCTCAGCAACTAGACTAGACTGGCCAGCCAGTAAGTCTCAGGGATGCTCAGGTCTCCACATCCCAGAGCTGGGATTATAGTATACACCACCATGCCCAACATTTTTATGTGGGTTCTGGGAATTGAATTCAGATACTCAGTGGAACCATCTCCCCAGCTATAGATCTCATCCTTTGTCCTTTCCATGGACAGCAACACACTCACACATTAGGATTCTGCACTTAAGGTCATGCTATGAGATGACCACTTAGCTCCATGTTCTTAAAGAGATATGGGGAGGCTCATTCAGCGCCACCAGTTTCATCTGAGAACTTAACAGAAAGTCAAATCATTGGGGATGCTGAATTATAAACTGGGAGCAGGGCCTGGGTGACTCTAATGAGAAGGGAAGTGACAGGCACAGAGTGACCTCAAAGCATCCACACAAGGTGCGCTGGGTAACCATAGGAATACCCCTATTATTACAGTAAAATAGGAAATAACCATGCATGCAGAAGGCCCCCAAGAGAATCAAAGGAAATTTATCACTGTCACTGATGTGAGACAATGACTTACAGTGTGTAACAACAGCCAAGTTTAAAGGAAGCTCATGAAAGTTTTGGAGAAGCACACTCAATGTCCTGCCATAATCCCTATCTGGTGGTTTGGATATTTACTTTCTTTGTTCTAAGGGGAAGGAAGGGCTGGAAAATTAAGTATTAAATCATTCAAAGGATATAATACTCTGGAAAGGAAATATTAAAACTTGTAATAATAAATTGTGGAGGCTCAGAAGGACATAAGATGGCAAATAACATTGTGACCAGAAAGGGGCAGAGCCAGGCTCAGCAACTCAGCCCATTCCTAGAAGATGAAACTTAAAGAAAATGATTCCATAGAAAGAGGTACCTTAACAGGAAACTCACAGAATGTGGAGATCAGAGGGCAGAGTTTTAAGTGGAACATGGATGTCTTTGTGGGACACAGGTTTTCTGTTACAGATACAGTGGAACCAGCCATAGGCAAGTGTGAATGCGTGCGCATGACTGTGTTGTGAAATCACAGCTTGCTAAGGGACCTTGAAACCTGAACATCCTAACATCTCGATGTATCATGAAACAAGCCCCTTTGAATTTTTTCTCCCTTTGGCCCTTCGAACATAAAAAAAAAAACAAAACAAAAAACAAAACAAAACAAACAAAAAAAAACATTTGCATCTCAGAGGCAATACCAAAGCCACGAGGTCATCCACAGTCCTCAGGCTTAGATGCCAAGACACAGTCCCCCAAACCTACTATCAGGGCTATATTTAAGATTGAATGAGAAAATGAGAAAAATGGGAAATATTAAAATGCACTAAGAAAAGGGGAAGAAAACATATGGACACATTGATTGGAATGGTAGTCACGTGAAATGACAGAAAATGTCAATAGACCAGTGCAGCCTGGGCAGACAGAGAGTATTCATGGCATTCTTTCACTTCCTTTATAGACAGAGATTCCTATAGTTGAGGCTGGTCTCAAAATTACTATGTAGTGGGTACTAGCCTTGAACATCTGGTTTTCCTGCCTCTATCTTACAAATGCTGGGATTACAGGCATGTGCCACCATGCTTGGTGAGTATAGAGGCCTTAATTTAACAATATCATTGCACTGTTTTTTCAAGGAACAATGTGCATTTTTTGGTCAGATTATACAGAAATAACCTGACAAAATAACCTTTGTTCCTCCTCTACCCTTAAGAGCATCTGTTGTTCATTTACTGGCTATCTGGGCATAACAGAATATAAGTCTTGGTTTGCTGATCTGCCTCAGGCTTGTACACTCAGTATTCAAAAGATTATATATTCAAAAGATTATCTGTTAAGCTATTGAATCAATATCTTCTGTCTTCTAGGCCCGTGGTTAGGTGACAATTGCTTCCAGAGTGCGGCAGGGGTGGGGGTGAGGTTTATGTGGGTCCTTGTCCTATCTCATAGGGAGAGGCAGCGAATGTGCTGTACAAAGCACCTGGGAGTCTTCAGGGTCTCCCCTCAGATACAGGCTTCCTCCTCAGAATGTTCCCAGCATTTCATGCTGACCTTATGCACAGGCTTCCTGACTACCCTGTGTCACAGTGCTTCATGTGGGTACCCTCTTTGGATAGGGAGAAACTTCAGGAGGGGTGGGGCTAACATTGAATTTTTACTCCATGATGCTGAGCACCAGTATACAATAGACACTCAGTAAATGTCCACTATCCATTAGCCAAGTGGGTAATGTATTTCTACACACAACATCCAGAACACTCTCTCAAGATTCCCTCTTGGCCTCTGGGCATTTACTGTACTGAGAGAAAGCTTTGCTCTCAGACCTCAGTCCCAGCAACCACTGGAAGCCAGCGGGCCCTGTGAACAGTTTGAAAATCTTGGAAAGGGACTGGGGAGATGGTTTAGTCAGAAAAACGTATGCTGGGCAAATACTGAAGAATGGAATTTGATTCTCAGAGTTGGGGGAAGGCCGTCATGGTATTACAATCCCTATCCTGTGCAGAAACAGATCCCTCACTGGCCATTCAACCTCGCCTATTTGTCAATTATCAGGCCAGTGAGGCCTTTTCTCAAAAACAAAACAAAACAGAAAAATGGACAGTATCTGAAGAATGCTCTGGTCGTATGACCACCATACTTGTGTTCAAACACGCACTCTCTCTGCCTCTCTCACTCAGAAACTGTGAATAGCGTCTGCTCGAGAGAGGTGAAGTCTCACCTGTTTCTTCCTTGAGGTCCTGAAAGAACTTCTGGTTGAAGATAAAAGCCACGCCACTGATCTCCTCCACCTTGGCCTCCGCCGTGCTGTTCCTGTTTATGAAGTTGGCAGTGATGGCGATGGCCAGCTTCCCTCGGAACTCCTTCCTCCTGAACCCTGTGGAATAGAAGGGATAGATGGGCCAGTCCTCTAGATCAGGTGGAACTCACACAACATTGCTGGTAACACTCTTCTCGGTGTCACACAGACAATGGGGACAGGGGCTCTGGAGCAGGCACAGGCATTGAAGTCAATGGGGCTCTGTTTTCTATACCATTGAACCTCATGCATCATTGACATATCCACAGACCAATGGTTAAAATGATCTGTGCAGCGGCCACCACAGAGCTCAGCCCTCTGTAGACATTCTGAGTATGTCACTGAACAGTCTTAAGGTGCTTTGGCAATGAGGCCTTTTATGATTAGCCAAGTCAAACGATTTTGTTAGCATTTTAAATGGAAAAGAAAACCTTTTAGAAAAATAGGATTAGACTGAAGTCCCGTAGGTCAGGGATGGTAAAATATTTTCTTTATATCTTTGTTGTTATGGGTTGTATTGCATTGCCATCTCCCTGCCACATATGCATGGTGAAGTCCTAACTCTTGGTGTCTCTGTATGTGACCTTTCTGGAGATGGAGTATTATAGATGTGCTTAGTTAAGATGAGGTCTACTGGAGTAGAATGGATCCTGTGCTATAAAACATCCCTGATGTCTTTATCCACAGGGGAAGTTGGATACATATACACACTGAGGAAGATGCTCCATAAAGATAAAGGCGGAGACAGAGGCGGTGCTTCTGAAAATAACACCAAGGCCTACTAAAGGAAACCAGGCCACTGGTTCCCAGTGGCTGGTGCCTTGGATGTATGCTAGCTGGTTTAGGTCTTGACATGAACCTAGATATTCCTGGGAAGAGGGACTCTCAAGTGATGAATAGCTTGAGGGTACATCTGTGGTGGCATTTTCTTAATTAGTGATTGATGGAGAGTTCAACTTATAGCAGGCTGAGCATCGTCCCTAGGTTCTCAAGTATTCCAGTTATATTTTTCCCAAACCATCAGAACAATCCCACAGATCACACATGTGTTCACACTGGCAGCTTTGAAGTGCCTGCTCTGTCAGATATTGCTGTGAGAAAATGGATACAGGAGTGAAGGCAGGGTGCCAGGGTGAGTACAGGCAGGATAGAGTGTGGGGTGTGGCAGACAGGCAAGGCCTGAGATGGAGGACCACATGTTCAGAATTTTCTGAGACCAGACTTATTTCAGTATGTGTGTCCTGTCCTCAGAGAATGAGTTTTCCCAGCCGTGCATCTCCAGCTTGTGACCCTTGACAGGGGAAAACTAAAAAATCACATTGTCCCTACTCCAAGAGACGCTACTGACACCATGATGCTTTTCAGCCATGGACTCCGACAACCCCTTCAGTATAAATGAGTATGTGAAACCTGCCTGCTGGACTCAGAGAATCAATGAACACTGACAGTTTGCTAAGCTGCCAGGCAGTGGGTGTGATTAAGAGTTATGAAGAAAGAGGGCCTCTCTGTTGATTGGTAGAGTGCTTGAACATGAATGGATGCCATTAAAATCTTGAGATGTTTGTCTTAGATGGAGTGAGAGGAGAGTGCACCTTGGCTAACACAGCAGCTGGTGCTTAGTGAGTCTGTGTTGACTTTTCCCACAGTACCTCCATTTAAGAAACATTTTCACAGATAAGCCCTCCCCTACCTCTTGCCCCCATGCTCTAAAAAGGCTCTGCTCCCCATGTTCCCTTTTGGGAATGCTTAGGTCCAGCAAGAGGAAAAGTGGAATGGCCATCGTCACATGCTCAGCCTCAGGCAGGACAGAACAACCTGCCCTCTACTCTTAGCAGAAGCATCTGCCATCTTGATCATCCTTTTCCAGTTCACCTCATTAATCTCTAAGCTCTAGCCCCCAAAGAGGAGTCCTCACCTTCCAGAGTGTTCCTATGGCCATCGGCACCAATGATGACATCAAACTCAAAGTCAGACAGGGCGTGGTCTGCAGGGAGGAATTCTGCCCGCCAGCCAACTTCTACCAGGGCAGAGAGACTGTTAGATGAGTGGACAGAGGCAGGCTGAGAGAGTGATGCCACCCCTCCCCGTTGGCCCTGAGAAATGGATAATGATCCACTGAAGCCTCCCCAAGAAAGGTCCAGGCATCAGGTATATCCAGCCTTTTGACACTGTGACACAATGCTGTTGTCTACAAAGTTCATGGTTGAGAACTGTGCAATTGAGGCTTTTTTTTTTAATGGCAAAACCCGTCATAATATTTTAATAAATTTACTATTTCATATTTGACCACATTCATAGCTATCTTGTGTAGCATGTGGCTCCCATGCCGCAGGCTGTGCATACCTGGGCAGTGCATATCCAGATTCTCTCTGGTTACCTCAGGTTTTGTGTCAGTGCAACCCAGAACAAAGCAAAGAGGCACCGCCAAATCCACACCAGTCTGAGTGAAATTGGCTAGGATGCTAACCTTGAGCAATCCCCAAACCAGTCTTCCTTGCCCCTGCCTATCTCTCATCAGATACACCCTATTTGTCCCATATTCAAGGGCTCCTTGTTGTCAAGCAGATCCCAGGGGATGTGGGAGATGTCAGGGAGCCACTTTGCTTTTCTGCTTCTTGCTCCAATGGTTTGCTGCTTATAGAAGCACACTCTCAGGGCAAGCCTGGCTGGGTTCTTGGAATTAGGGCTGGCTATCCAGCAGAGACATTACAACAGGAGCAGTCTCTGAATGTCCCATGTGATAGTGTCTTTAAAAAAAAAAAAGCAAGGAAATCCTCTCCAGGTTGTCAAATATACTGGGCTGAGGCCAGGAAAAGTCGGGGGTGTACCTCCCATGGGAAACAGCAAATTTCTCCCATACACACAACCTCAAAACTCAGCATTTCCAAGGAGGAGGATAACAGCAAGATATGAAACCTTGATGGACAAACTCCATGACTATGGTGTGTGAAAGAGATCAGAATTTGATTTCCCTTTCTTCTAGACCTCTCTCCCCCTTTAGGTTCTCAGTATGTAGCTCAGGCTGGCCTTGAACCCACTACCACCTTGCTTCAGTGCTGGGATTACAGTTATATACCACTATGTTCAGCTAAAGTATCAGGATTTAAATATGTATAATAAGAAAGAAGAATACTATTGAGAACTTGCATAGATTGAGACATTTTATAAATTAAAACTAAATAAAATTAAAAATACTGCTGGGCATCATGGCACACCTGTAATACCTGTAATCCCAGGATTCAGCATAGCAAGTCTGAGGCCAGTTTGGGTTACATATAAGACTATTTCAGGAATAATATATATGTTGTGGTGGTTTGAATGAAAATGGCCCCCACAGGCTCATCAGGAGTGGCACTATTGGGAGGTGTGGCCTTGTTGGAGGAAGTATGTCACCGGAGTTGGCTTTGAGGTTTCAGAAGCTCAAGCCAGGCTCAGTGACTCTCTCTTCCGATGATCTGCTGATCCATATATAGAACTCCCAGCTACCTTTCCAGCACCATGTCTGCCAGCATGCAGCCAGCCATGCTTCCCACCATGACAACAATGAACTAAACCTCTGTTGTAAGCCAGCCCCAATGAAATATTTTGTTTTATAAGAGCTGCCATGGCCATCGTGTCTCTTTATAGCAACAAAACGTTAACAAAGATATATGTATTCCAAGAAATATCTAGAACTTTGTTTTACAACTGTTCTAGAAGTCTGTTTCTTTATTGTATTTTAAAATATTTTGAGGGTACAGCAGGCACCTCTGCCTACCTGTGTATGAGCTGACACACATCCTGAAGCTTATGTAAACTTTATTAAGCTACCAGATCTGTCTTCTTCCTGCCACTGACTGGACATTGTTTGTCAAAGTTGCATCTTCCTAGGGACCGAGTAACCAAATTATAGGCTTCATGGCATAATAATAACTCCACCATCACCCCTGCCCTTGTTGGGAGCTGAAGAATAAGCCCAAAACCACAGAAATGGTCAAAAAAGGTAAAGTATTTGTCAGTGGAAGTATGCCAAATAGCTCCCAGCAAAAATAACTTGCAGAGATAGCCTCTGAAAGCTACCAGCACAGCTTCCCACTTGGAATATCTGCCTTCAAGGCAGAGAGGGAGAATTATACTGTACTTTGATTTTCTTGATCTTCAGGAGGCTCTAGAACCCTCACAAATTCCACATTGACATGGATTTCCACTCCCAGCATCAGGGCCACCTTGAACAGGATGAGCTGTAGTTGACGGATACCTGCCAGGAAGGAAGGAAAGGGAAAAACGACGGTCAGGAGTGATGCTTGGGTCCACCTGTGTATAAGTGCTGTACAGGTGTGGCTCAGTGAGAGCAGAACACAAACACAGCACCACATCAACTGAGTTTATATCAGGCACTCTAGGGCTTTTCATCCATCCCAAACAGTAGCCTTTTGGGACCCTTCTTATTCTCAATTAATAGAGGAAATATTGAGGCTTGATAAAGTCAAGTGACTGCTCAGGGCCACACAGAAGCAAAAGGCAGACCAGAACCAGCTCAGTCTGACCTGACAGCCCTGCTCTAGCTGTACCAGGCTGTTCTAACTAGGAAGTTCTGTCTTTCCTACATCTTTGTTGAGTTGAGCTCTGGCTCTGATGAGATAAAGATGGAGAGAGGAGGAGACAGTGAGAGTCAAGAGCCACAAGGAAAATCAGATAGCAAATGGCTCATTGGATAAGGCCTATGGCTAAAGCTCCTCCCTCTCCAATAGTAACCAGCAAAGCATGGAATTCTCCTCATCAACTAGGCTCAATGCTCTCCATCTTTTACTATTTCAAATACCTTCAGTGAATACAACCTTGTTGTCCTCCACCGCTCAGCACAAATGAGCATCCCTCACTGCACAGTGAGAAAGTTGTAAACTTGCTGCTGTGAGCTTCTTTGTATTGAGTGGGTGTAGCTCATTTAATATTTGCTGAGTGCCTGCAGTGTGCCCGGTGCCATCTTAAGTCACAGAAAGATGGCTGCATGCTCTCTACTGGAGGAAGCACATGAACAGAATGACAGGGTCTGCATTAGGGCTGTAAGAGCAACTGGGAGCACCACATTCCCTGGACAGACTGAGGACAATGAGGGCCACACGTGTGTGGCCAGGGCATCTGGGAGCCAGGAAGCTGCTGGGTAAAAATTTCTTTAGTGTGATGACAGACAGGAGGAAGTAGACAACCATGGGGGGGAATATGAGTGGATAGACAGTCTGCACTTCCTCTTCTAGAACAAGTCCTTTGTGTTAGGAACAATAATGGGGTCCCCATAGAAGGGGAGGTCCAGTATGAGGAGCAGGAAGACTGGTGATGAGGCAAGGGAGGAGGAGAGAAATCTAAGAGGGACCAGAGTTGGAAGGTGAGCTAGCTCTGTTCTGGGGGTGCTGAGAAGGGAAGATGAGTGTGTGAAGGGCTGGTCAATGCCTCTCTCCATCAGTCATAGCACACAGATCCCTGCTAAGAACCTAGGACTGGGGAATGGAGACTCTAACACAGGACATAAAGAGAAGTGTTGAGCGATGGTGAACCCAGAGACCCCCATGGTCTGAACAGAAGCCAGACAGCCTCCAGAGCCCAGGCCACAACCTGCTAAGGAGACAGTCCTTCCAGGGGAGGCGTGGCCACACCCCAGTGTGTCAAAGTTTCTGACTTCTGGTACACAGCAGGTGCTCTGTAAGTCGCCCAGCTCCACTCTCACAGGACTGCCTTGGTGATGCCATATCCTCCCAGCATTTTGCTCAAAGCCTTCACGCCACATTCTAATGAGCAGGCCTTCTTCTCTGGGTGGGTCAGAGCATCCTGCCAGCTCATGCTGTGGCTTTCTGGGCAAATACCAATTTCTTTCCATTGGACTCCTGAAATTTTCTCATCCCAAAGTGGGAATAAACTCTGGGGCTGCTGGTAAATTCTTCTGTGCCTGAATAAATTAAACCCTTAGCAGCTGATAATTCTCTCCAGTCCCACCCATACCCCACTCACTTTTCCCATCAACTCTGGTCTCATACGGACATGGCTCTTTGGGCTTCCCTCTCACCATTTCCCATGGAAAAACACAAGGTTCTTAGGTTTGGGGACCACACATAGCCCCCTGCTTACTCTATGCCACCAGACACAAAGCACTTCAGGATTCACTACACAGCAGGTGTTGTGCTAGCATGTTACAAACTTGACCCCTTGTAACCTTAGCAACTCAAGAAGACAACATTAATCTTGTTTTATAGGAGATAAAATTGAGGCCTGAGGAAGGTAAGACATTTTCACCAGTAAGGAAGAAATAAAAGAGACATGCTTGGTATTTAATTCACCTGACACCATGTGACCTGCCTAACTTCCATGTTCCACTGTCATATAGATGATGACTAGAGACCTCTTCCCTGTAAAGCTCAGAAAGGGGTGGGGGTCCTATCTCTCCAAAGCTGGTATGCCCAGGTCCTGCCTCAAGATTCTACGAGTGACCAATGGCAGATCAGGAGCCATTCTCCGCACAGACATTCAGGGACTGCCTAGCATCTGGTCTATATCCTCTGTGGGGTCACACCAAGCTTCTTCTCTCCCGACAAAGCCGTAAGGAGCGCTGGTAAGCAATGTCAGAGACTACACATCCAGTCACACCACTCCTCTGATCTGCCACCTGCCAGCTCTCCAGGACTAGCTGCGCAATGTCCAAAGGTCTCTCTCTGCACAGGAGGTCCCAACCATCTGTTCCTGTTAGGGTTTTGTGAGCTCTCTATTTCAAATTCCTCCTGGGGATGTGACTCACTCTATTAGAGCACATTTTATTACGGACAGGATCTTAGTGTGCTCCTCTGGGCTTTGTATTTCATCCATCCACTCAACAGATAGTTATTGTTCATCTATTATGTGTCAAGCACTTAGGCCCGGTGACAGGTATTTTGGCAAGCAGGAAGTGCCTGAGTCTGACCAATGGGACATAGCACAGAGCCCAGAATAAGCCACAAAGCAGACTGCCATGATCAGAGCGTGAAGTGTCCTCACCAGTGCATGTGTTTTGACATCTGAGCCCCATGCAGCGGTACTGTGTTAGGAGATTGCAGGACCTTTAGAGGATGTGGCCTAGCTGGAAGAAGGGGGCCACTAGGTGGGGGCGAAGGGGAGCTTGAAGTTTATAGCCCAGCCATTCTGTGGTGCCTCTCTTCATTTCTGGATCTGCCCAGATATGAGCTAGCAGCCATGAAGCTGCTTGTGTTTTTTACTTCCTTGCCACAATAGGCTGTTTCCCTTCATACTGTGAGCACAAATAAACTTCTCCTCAAGTTGATTCCTGGGAAGCATTTGATCACAAGCAAAGCAAAGTAAATAATGCACAGTCCTTCAGGTAACATCTATTAGTTGGGTGTGTTGGTCCCCAAAAGGCCAGCTGGAACTACTAAATGTGGCTAGATAGGTCCACCTACAGTGAGACCCGGACCTTCATGAAGCACCCCACCCCAAGCCCCACTCACTGATGTGGTCGATGGAGCCAGCACAGAATTTCCCATAGAACTTCTTGGCTCCTAGGCCCCGCAGGTCGTGGATGGTAAAGGGCCAGAGGTGTAACACATTGTTCCGGGAGAAGGTGTCCCTCTTCTCCACGACAACCACTTTGGCTCCCAGGTAGGCAAGTTCAATGGCAGTGCGCAAGCCGCATGGCCCTCCTCCTACGATGAGACACTGTGGAGGGAAAGCAGACACTTAGCAACCTTGAGTGTACAGGCAGTGCTGTCACCGGGGGGCCACCTCACCAGCCACAGCTTACTGGGCATCTGCTAGGGCCTGTCATCCATCCACGCAGTGTAGGCTCCCTGATCAAGCCCTGGGAGTACACACACAAAGGGATTTCTGGAGAAGGCGCTGTAAGATGTGTGGGAGGTTCTGAGTGAGGTTGGATCAGATCTGATCCCAGCCCTGCTACACCACCTCTTAGTTTCCTTTCCTGTGAACTCGGTCTGTGAAGTGTTGCTTTTCTTCAGAGGGCTGCTGTCAATAGGATCACCTTTGGGAAGTGACTCAGCTGTGGGGTGCTAGCCTACTATGTGCAAGGCCCTGGACTACGTATCCAAGCACCACTAAATGAGTACAGAGTAAAAGAGGAAGGTACTCCTGAGTCATGAAAATGTGAGGAACGTCATTCTTGTGACCAAAGGCTAGCCAATAGTTCCTTAGGACCAACAGCCAAATGACAAGAGAAAATATTGACAAACAGGACTTTGCTAAGATTAAAAACTTCGGTGCTGAGGCTGGAGAGATGCATCAGTAACAGAGCATTCTCTGTTCTTCTAGAAGCCCTGAGTTCCATTCTCAGCACTCATGTTGTATGTCTCACAACCACCTGTAATTACAGCTCAGAAGACCCAACACCCTCTTCTGGCCGGCCCATCATGCACCTTCACACAAATGCATCCCCCCCACACAAATAAAAATAAATCTTAAAATTGATGTTTCAAAAGCTATTACTGCCAAAGAAGTGAAAAGAAGATGGTTATGGTGTCATATGTCTGTAAGCCCAGGCTGGCCTGTCTCACCCTGACCCAGTTCCTCAACCTGGCAAAGGAAAGGAAAAAAGGGAAAAGATAGCCCCACTGATGGAAGAAAATATTCACAAACACATAACTAATTAACTCTGATACCCTACTTGTATCTTAGTATGCATAAAAATTTGATAGCTTAAAATATAAACCCCAGAGAAAGAATTTAGATTGCATTTTCCCCAGTAAAGATATACAAAGAGTCAGAAAGTAGATAAGAAGATCCCAATACTATCAGCTATCAGAGAAATGCAAAAAAAAAATAACTAATGGTGAGTGGTCACTCCCTCATCACTAGTAAAGGCTCTAATTTTATAGGGATCACGTGAATCAAGAGCTGGAAATGTTCAATTTGTACATCATGCTAGTGGAAATAATTTCAAACAGTCTGGTATAGCAATTCCTTTATCAATTAAACACAGGAGTACCATATTAGCCAACCATCCCACTCCTAGGAGCACATACACTCAAGAGAAGCAAAAACATCTTCATGCATTATATGCTTTGTTTTATCTACAGTGGCTGCTCATTAAGCAACAGCTTCAGCTGCAAGGGCAGCAGCCTGAGGGGATTCTGTTCCCTCAAAACCCACTCTTTCAAAGCTGCTGAGGGAAATCCAAATGTAAAGAACTCACAATTCAAGGTTTGAGGTGAATTCTGCTTGTTCAGAGGCTGAATAGCAAACAGCTAACCTTCTCTCTTTTCTGGCATCTTCAAAGGAAAAAAAAAATCCCAGCATCTTTCTCTCCAATCCTACTCAAAAACCCTTGCTATACGTGGTTCCTCCTTACCATTTCTTGCCAGCTACTTCCTCACTCAGCCTCCTGCTCACAGGTTAATTTTATTTGATCAAACACATCTTTGAATTATTAACAAAACGGGTAGGAAAAATGCAACACACTTTAAAATAATACTCCTCAATACCCATGAATATCAAGGGAAGGATTATTTACATCAACCCCAAATTGCAACAACTCATGAGCCTATGAATTGATGGATAAGCAAGATAGGATATATGTGTAATATCATGGGTGCATATATGTGCTTGCATGTATGGGTGCAGGTACACATGTGTGGGGGCCCAAGGTTGATATCGGGAGTCTTCCTCAATTGCTCCCCACCTATTCAAGGGACCCTTGGGTTTGCTGATCCAGGATAGTCTAGTTAGCCATCTTGCTTTTGTTCTGGGGACCCCTAATGTCTGCCTTCTAGACACTGGAGTTGTAGATAGGCTACTACACCTAACTGGCATTGATTTGGGTTTGGGGATCTGAACTCTAGAACATGCAATCTGTATAGACAGAAAGTTTGGTGTGCTAAGGTTAAAGGAAAGGAAGGGTTGGGAAGTGAATGCTACTGGATATATGGTTGTCTTTGGAATGCTCTGGAATTAGGCAGTGGTGATAGTTACATCCTTTAGTAGCATGAGTCTTATAATATGTTGATTATATTACATACAATAAAATGGTGAGACCCTATCTAAAAGAAAACTGGACTGATGCCGACTCAGCAGTTAAGAGCATTGGCTGCTCTTCCAGAGGACCCAAGTTCAATGTCCAGAACACAAAGGATGGCTCCCAACCACTTATCACTCTAGTTCCAGGGGATCTGATACCCTCTTCTAGTCTCTAGGAGCACTGTACATATGTAACATATATACATACACACATATACTCAAACATACACATAAAATAAGTATTAAAAATAAAAACTTCAGGCCCAGTGGTACATGTTTATAATCTCAGGACCTAGATAGGAGAATTGCAAATTCTAGGTAACATTCAACAAGCAAGAATTGTATGAGAAGAAGGTAATGAGAAAGAAGGGTGACCAACACTGGTATGAATGTTGGATCCTTTTTTTCTTTTTTACAAATTTTTAAATTTTTATTATACATAAGCGTGTTTTGCCTGTGGGTATGTCTGTGCTCAGGTACATCCCTAGTGCCCATGGAGGCCAGGAGAGGGCATCAGATTCCCTGGAGCTGGAGTTATAGGTGATTGCAAGGCACTATGTGGATGCTGGGAATTGAACCTGGATCCTTCAAAAGAGCAGCCAGCGCTAACCACTGAACATTCTCCCCAGCTCTGACTGTTGGAGTCTTATTACTGAAAACTAGTGCCTGTATCTAGAGACTCTCAGGCCATGGTGTAAATTTGAACTTTGAAATAAAGAACCAGAATGTTGCGTGGTTCATTCTATTTCATGCTCAGAAAGGGAAAAGCTAACTCAGCTTGGTAGAGTGTAAGGAACTTCAGAGGAGCTCCCCCTCCCCCTCCCCCCCCCCCCCGTGTTACCATCGTCACAGTAGCCACATCTGTGAAGCACTCATTCACATTCATGTGTTTGACTTCTCAAATTCTAGAAGAGAACTTTCATTCTGACTGTCTCCCAAACGGGGGAAAGCAGGGCACAACTCTGCAAGGTTCCTAACTGGTCCATGGTGACAGACTGGAAGGGCAGAGCCAGGCTCTAAACCCAGATGGTCTCGCTCCCAAGCCTCCCACACAGTCCTGCTTCTGGTTCGATGGAAATAAAAAGAAATCCAAACATCTCAGCTGATGGAGCCCATTCAGAGAGGAAGAGGGGTGGGAAGGGGGAAAAGAGGAGAGTAGTTGGCACCTACATGCTGAGGTCTTAAATGTATTGGACTTGTTGGCACAGGGGCTACAGGTGAAGAAGACACAGACAGGACTTTGTACAAGGTCCGTATACCAAGTCACTGCATGTTGAAGAAGACCATGTCCTTTTCCAGACAGGACACAGTCTGTTAGGACAGAAGAGGACACATGGTGGTATAGACAGTCACATTGGCATCTCACTTTCTGCAATGCTGCATAAGACCTGAAAGCACAGCAGTAGCCCAGCAGTGGCAGGGGTTCACAGGTAAGGGTGTGCGGGGTGGGTGTGTGCGGGGTGTGGGGAGGTGTGTGTGTGTGTGTGTGTGTGTGTGTGTGTGTGTGCGGGGTATGGGGAGGTGTGGGGTGTATGTGTGCAGGGTGTGTGGGGGTGTGTGGGGTGTGTGGGGTGTGTGGGGTGTGTGGGGTGTGTGGGGTGTGTGGGGTGTGTGGGGTGTGTGTGGGGTGTGTGGGGTGTGTGCGGGGTGTGTGTGGGGGTGTGTGCGGGTGTGTGTGGGGTGTGCAGGGTGTGTGGGGGTGTGAGTGGGGTGTGCAGGGTGTGTGGGGTGTGTGCGGGGTGTGTGGGGGGGTTTGTGCGGGGTGTGGGGTGTGTGTGTGTGGGATGTGTGGGGTGTGGGGGTCTGTGTGTGGGGTGTGTGTGTGCGGGGTGTGTGGGGTGTGTGTGTGTGCGGGGTGTGGGGGTCTGTGTGTGGTGTGTGTGTGTGTGCGGGGTGTGTGGGGTGTGTGGGGTGTGTGCGGGGTGTGTGGGGTGTGCGGGGTGTGCGGGGTGTGCGGGGGTGTGCGGGGTGTGTGGGGTGTGCAGGGTGTGTGCGGGGTGTGAGTGGGGTGTGAGTGGGGTGTGAGTGGGGTGTGAGTGGGGTGTGAGTGGGGTGTGTGGGGAGTGTGTGGGATGTGTGCGGGGTGTGTGGGGGGTCTGTGCGGGGTGTGGGGTGTGTGTGTGGGATGTGTGGGGGTCTGTGTGGGGTGTGTGTGTGCGGGGTGTGGGGGGTCTGTGTGTGTGTGTGTGCGGGGTGTGCGGGGTGTGTGGGGTGTGTGCGGGGTGTGTGTGTGTGGGGGAGTGTGGGGTGTGTGCAGGGTATGTGCAGGGTGTGTGTGGGGTGTGTGGGGAGTGTGTGGGGTGTGTGTGGGGTGTGTGTGGGGTGTGTGCTGCATATGTGCGGGGTGAGGTGTATGTGAATAGCTAAAGCTGTTTAGCAAGTCATCAGAGGGACCTTCACCCACTTCTCATTCACTGATGGATGTTGTAGAGACATCTGGAAACTTCCCTCTACTTGTGATTAAATGTTATCTTAAAAATACATCCCCTTCCTGAGCAAATGCTCCATCCTCTGCCTGTGACTCCCCTAGGCCACCAGGGTCCTGGAAGGAAAGAGTGGTCAAGCATATCAGAGGCTCCCACACGGCAATCAATGTAATTTACTGGCTGGAACCTTCCAGAGAGTTTGTAGACACCCAATTAGAGGAAATGAAGTCACTGCTGAGATTTGACTCACCCCCAGAGACTTTG